CCCAGATGGCGACAGGGTGAATGCCACCTCGGTGAAGGCGAAGGCGCACTCTAAGGGCCGGTATCTTCAGGTTCCTGAGCTTGATTCTTCGTTGCGTGGCCTTCTGCATGCGTTGCTTCATGACCGGGATTCTTCTAGCTCGGCCAGCTTGATGGTCAATGCCCAGATCTCTCATCACTGGCACAACCGGGGGTTCTTCTTCAGTCAGCATCTTCTTCAGTTCATGGTTGACATGTTTGTCGGTGCCAATGAAGGCGGTCTTCTTTGCACTGACCTTGAGGCCGACCTGGGTGAGCTTTTGGTGGAGGTCTCTATAGGCTTCCACTGCTTGCCTGGCCACTCGTTGGGGATCCTTGCCGGCAGTGTCAAAGCCGATGTCATCCACCCAGCTGGAGAGGTGGATGTGCTGGTGTTGTGCATGCCAGGGTGCCAGGGCTGGAGTGAGCACTGCCTTGGCTAAAAGTGGAGCTTGTGGACAGCCTGCCGGAACTCCCCTGTTGACGTGAAAGAAGGGTGTCATTTCCTGCTCGGCCATGATGGCTTTGGGCCCTGTGTACACTTGCATGGCAAGTTCCAGCATCAAGGGTGGATAGTTTATGGCCTGGGCTTGTGTTTGGAGTTCTTGTAGTTGGATGGTGTCGTAGAAGGTCGAAAGGTCCATTAGGACGGTGACCCCATGCTGTTGGTTGGCCCTGGTCACTTCTTGCCTGAGGAGTCTCTCGAGGGCTACCTGCAGGACGTTTGCCCCGGGCCTGGCTCGGTCGTGGTTCATGAAGTCCGGGAGGTCATGCTGCCATGTGTCCAGCACTGCTTTCCGGAGTCTGCACCAAAGCCGGTACAGGGGGGATGTGAGCGTGATGGGGCGCTCGATGGTTGGGTTTTTTGGCAGCGTGACCACCATGTGCATTTGTAGTTGCGTTGGCAGCTGGGCAGTGCTTTCCATGTCATGTATCAGTTGGAGCAAAGGTCCCAGAGCTTGTGGTGGCGCTGTGCGAAGGAGTTGCGCTGAGACTGCATCAGGTCCGCTCGCTCGGTCTGGGAGCTTCTTGATGGCATGGGCGAGCTGCCCAATGGTGATGGCCTTGAGGCCTTTGGCTTGTTGGATGGCTTGGTCCTTCAGGCTGGTTCTCTGCACGGGCTGGTTGTCTTGACGAATCTGCCAGAGTTCACTCCAGTCTGCAAGTCTCTGTGTCATTCGCTGGTCAGCTTCAATGGTTCGGTAGGGTCTCTGCCATGGTAGCTCGCTGCTCTTGAGGCTTCGGAAAAGTCCTTTGAGACCTTTGGCGTGTCCTTGGGTCAGCCAGGTTTTATACTGAAGGTGTAGCTCATCATTGGCGGCCTGCTGGGCTTCTTGGAGTTGGTGCTGGATGGTATGCATGATGAGAGTGGCCGCATGCTCATCTTTGTATGCATGCCAGTGGTGGCAGGTGTCCAGGAATTGACCCCAGGTGGGTGAGCCAAGCCACTTGGTCTGGATGTCCTTGAGGGCTGTCATGAAACCCTTGGTTGGGCCCCCTGGCTGTGTGGGCGGCTGTTGTTGTGCAAGTCGAAATCTGGCCTGGAGCTGTTCCCAAAAGGCAGCCTTGCCTTTCTTCCAGGTGCCCCCTGTTTTCGGTGTTGCCAATGGCTTGATGGTGACCCGGAGGTTGCTGCCTCTGCCTTGGGCAGCCCATGGGTGCTCTTGCAACAGGTATTGTTCAGTGACTGAGATCCAATTGGCCCATTGTTGTGCAGCTGTGTTGACTGGGATGTCATACAGGTTGAGCTCAAGGGCTTGCGTTTTGAAAGTGGACCATGGCCTGAAGTCAATGTCTGGGACGGCTGGCAGAGCTGGAAAATATTGCACTTGTCGGAATTCTCTTGTGGTTATCAGCCCTTACTGCCCAGATTTGCATCACTTGACTAGCCAGTTGTGGTGTCAAATGTGGTAGATAGAGTGGCACCTTGCCATCATCTGCAAGCCACATGAGATCTCTGTAGATCAGAATGGCAAAGTAGTGGCCGGACTCGTGGTTCGCCCCACGATGACAGATCAGCACCGATGGGACGAATTCCGTGGAAGCTCTGGCGAAGCCATCCATGGATCTAGGGACCGTGAAGGTGCCATAGGGATTCAGGATCTTTTTGTGCTTGGTTGCAACCCCATCCAGCTTTGTGTTCCTTGTGATGTGCATGACAAGAATGGCTTTGTCATCGATGAGGTAGCGGCCACAGCCTTCATTGGCCCAACCATTCAGCAAGCTCTGAAGTGTGGTGTTTTCAGGCCAGGTGTCTGGGAAGTCGACCAAGAGCGGTTGTTGCACAGAGTCCGTCAAATAGCCTCTCTCTTGGATCTCAGCGAATCTGTAGTGAAAGGCTCTGCTCTGAGAGTGGTTCCAGAGGGTGTTGACGAAATGGTTCGCATCGCCTTGGACATTGAGGTCGTGTTTCTTCCATAGTCTGTGCAGGCCAGGTAAGGTCTGGATGTCGACAATCTCTGCCAGTTCTAAAGATTCTTGTACTGCATCATAGAGATTTCCCCATGGTTCGGTGTGCGTTTCTTGTAGGAGTGCACATGTCCAAGTGAACGCTCGCCACGGGGCGTTGGCAAAGCATCTGGAGCTGGGATTGCCAACTGACATCGACAGATTCTGCAAAATGCATTCTGTCGTGGAGCCGTAGGTGCTCTGCATTCTGGTTTTGGTGTCTGCCTTGTGGTGCGTCTGCTTGAAGTAGCTGGCACCACCCTTGATCTGGATCACTTGAGCTCCTGGAGCTCCCAAAAGCTCGCCATCAGTGTCGGTGGCAGGCTGTGCTAACGTGTCAAAACTGATCCTCCTTGGTGGTAAGGATGCTATGGATTGGTGGCTGGTGATCTCCCCTTCACCAGTCAAGTGAGTGTCCCCAAGGTTAGGTGTGGTGTCCTCCTGTGGGTTGGTAGGTGTCTGTTCCCCTGCACCTCCATAGGAGTACCCCTGCTGGATTGAGCCGGATGCAGCACGGCAAACCGGTGTTGGATTTGGTGCCTCAAAATCATCCCATGGAATCGGCACTTGAAACGCTGGGATGCTAGTAGTGGTCCTAGAGAAAGTGTTACCCACACTGCCCCCCTGTCGGTGGCCCTTCTGTGTCCGTCTTGCGTCTTTTGTTGACTTCGTCCTCTTCAGCCTTGGTCCGCTTCAAGAGTCCATGGAGTTGAGATCTTTGTTCTTCTGACAGATCTATTCCGAGACTCGTGACGAAGGTTTCGACGGCCATAGGGATGGGCAGGTCCTTTGGTTCATCAGGTTCAAGGCCCGTGGGTTGTGGGGTCAGAGTTGTGATCTTCATGTATTGGTCCGACAGTTGTTTGAGCCGCTTTTGACCTTCATTCAACTTGCCCTGTAGTTCTTGCATGTCTTGTAGCATGGAGGCATACTGGGTCTTGACTTGATCTAGCTTGGTTTGAAGCTGGGTCTTCTTGATTGAGACAGACTTCAAGTCCCCCACCTGTGCCTTGAGCTTTTGTGCAAGATCCTTTTCGGTATCAGGCAATGGTTGGGTCAGCTTAGTGACCACCGCTTGAACTTCCTGTGGTAGTGCCGTCATGTGGGTCTTCAGGAGTTCTGTCAATTCCGGCTCTTCTGGTGGCGGAAGTCCAAAGCCGAGTGCCATGAGCTTGGTTTGGATACCTTCCGGGATCACCTCCCAGGTAGTGGCCAAAAGTTCAGCTGCTGCGGCTTGTTCTTTGTTCTGCTTAAGAGGTCTTGGCCGATGTAGTCCTGGTGGGCTGTCTAGCATCTGGGTTCCTGGTGACTTCTTTGGCCAGGTTTTGCCATGTCCAAGAGGCTTGGCTTGACCATGACCTTGACCTTTTCCTTTTCCGGTAGTGGCATAGTGATCCCACCATTGACCACACTTCCTGCAGCGTGTTCCTGGTCTCAGCTTGTCTCGCCAGATCCAGTTGTGACAGTCCTGATTCTGGCATGTCATGTAGCTGCGTCCCCACTGCATGATCACCGCTCCTTTCGTGATCTGGCTGTAGCTCTCGGTAAAGATGGAGTCCTGTAGTAGACAATCTCCCCAAGGCCGTAGGAGATTGAAGAGGATGTGTGACAGGCTTGCCTCCAGGAGGAAGAGAGCGAGAACTGCCAGTCACCGAAGATCAAGACAGAAACGGTGTTGGAGTACACGGGATCACGGGCAAAGGACGGTGGTATGGCACCTTCTCCCTGGGCCGTGCTTGGTGTGCTTCTCCAGGATATGTTCGCCTGAGGGTGCCGCACTAGGAGGGCTTGATGGGCTGCCTCCTTGAGCACTCGTGGCCTTGAGCCATGTATGTATGTATGTATGTATGTATGTATGTATGTATGTATGTATATGTATTACATAAATAGATATACACAAACAATACATACACAACATCATACAGATTACAGTATGCTTGGCAGGATCTATCTTCGTTGGGTGTCGCTACTTCACGACTTGACCTTGGCTCATCCTGCAAAATGCCAACAAAACAGCTGGGAAATCCTGAAGCCAACTCCAAGAATCCCTCTTCTGGTCGTAGCAGGCCACCAAGCGCTCAAGCAGCTGGTCGAATTCTTCCGCTTCGCGGGGGAAACAGGCCAGCCAAGGGAGCGGCATGCTCGGCGTTTGAGGAGAAAACTGCGGTCGGAGCTCCAATGAACCTTTGCCCGCCTTTGGGTGTATTCCACCTTGGTTGCACAGAAAATGAACCAATTTGCCTTCTAAGGATCCCCTCGGAGCCAGCTTGTTCTGATAAAGCATGTGTGCGTTTGCCGCGCGGCAAGCTCACAATCTGGTCACTGACTCAGGTCGTCCCCAAAGAAACGCTTGCAAACATGGCACATGATGAAACTTGGAGATCAAATGAACCTCCGAGCCCCCATACTGACCGCGCCGTCCCAACAAACAATGTCATGAACACGTCATAGGTGTCGACATGTGTCGCCGTGTGTGGGACCGTTGACCCCTCCCAAGTGTCACCAGTCTGAACTCTGTCTGTCTTCAGCCCCTTCCTCCGGCTCCGCCAACGCGGCGGCCACGCCCCGGACTTCGTTTCGCAGCACCTGAGCGCGATCGGATTGGCCATCGATTGGCACCGGTACACAACGATGGCTCTGAGAAAGGAGCCCCCAGACTTGTTCAATCCTTCAAACAGCCGTTCGGTCTAGCTGGTAGCCTGCATGCCCTTCCAAACCTGCCGTTGTGAGTAGTACAGCCAGTTTCGAGAGCCTGACACACTCCCCAAAACCACCAGCCCCGAGAGGTGGCGCGGGCTGCGAACCTGCCTCACGCGCTTTCTTGATGCGGCTGTAGGACTTCTTGTCGATATGAGTTCGCACCTGGAGAGGAAGCGAGGAAGGGAAAGGAGGGAAAGGAGAGGAAGGACATGTTTCTTGACACCTTCTCTGGCCCGCCATCCGCACACCAGAAACCGGTGAGCCCAATGCGAACGGCACGGTGCAGGATGCCTTTTTGGAGTCAGCTGCATCTGATTGCATGAGATGTCAAGGAGTTATATTGCCTTTTATTGCATGCCAGGTCCGATTCCAAGGTCCCCCAATTTCACCTGCGGGCGTCTAAATGGTCTAGCCATGTCTAGCCGAGTCTGGCCTTCAGGAAGTCACCGTGGAGGATTTCAAACCTGGCAAAACGTCGGGAGCCCGTGAAGAACATTGACCCGACCGGGGGGGTGCCCGCACCAGGGCAGGTCGCAAACATAGAGCAGTGGCGGCTGGAAAGGCCTCAAGCTCGCTTTTGACGACTCGAATTCTTTCCCCCGGGCGAAGGCACAAAAGCATCAAACAGCCGAGCCAAAGAATGCTAGCCAGCAGAGTTCGAGTGTGCGTACAGGGTCAACGAAGTTGCTTGAAACCTTTTTCGCTCGCTGGATCTTCGCCAAAAAACCAGATCCCGGTCAAAACCTCTCCTTGCGATGACCATCAACTAAAGGGTCTCGTCAAGTTCTGGGAGTTGATCACGGGCGCTGGTGGTTTGGCCATGCCATCATGACCGTCCTCTCACCCGTGTGCTGCTTTCAACGGTGAAAGCTTTCAGGGCGCGCCCGCACCCATCAATAATGTGATTAGCTGATAATCCCCAACGAACCTACAGCAACATCTACAACATCATATTGCCCCAACCAACCTTTACGGTCATTGTTTAGTTGTTTTTCCCACTGAAGCAGCTACTCTGGTCGTGCCAAAGGCTTTCATGTGCCAAAGGCCTTCATGCACCTAACTAACGGGGACGGATGGCACTACTTATGAAGCAGTGAGACGCAATTCTCACATCCAGGCCATGTCGAACAATTTCGAAACGCAGCTCCACCGGTGTGGAGGGCCGCATCCTGAAGAGGCGTGAGCTAGTCTTCAGGCCCACCCATATGTTCGGAAAGCGGCTGAACGCGACCCCCAACATGAACGTGCGGAAAAGGAAGCGCCAGGCAGACTCCTGCGACCTTTGCTTGTTTGAGAGCTTGCCCTTGACATGGTTCTCCGAACCTCAGTTGTTGGCACACCAATGGCAAAGAATTGAGCGCAGTGGGCTCTGGAGGGTGACAAGTACCCATTCAAGTCCCCACGAATGTAAGGGCTTGTTTGTGGCTTTATGTGCTTTCCTTCACCTTCAACCTTTAAACCCACCCTCCTGAGGAAGAAGCCTCAGTTGCTTCAAGTTGCTTGATGGGCATCTACAGCAAACAATGTGTGAACTATCTTGCCACTTGCCGGGTGAGCTATCTCGGAGATGGCACATGAATAGGTACATTCCATAGGGGGGGGTGGCTTGCCCAGAAGGATCCCACAATCAAACACCTCCCAAATCCATCCAAATCCGCCCAAGCCGCAATCTGCCAAGCGCCAAATGGTGACTCCCACATCAGATGCGGCGGTCTTGTTCCGGTCCTTGGCGCGAGTAGTTACGTTGCAACTCGGCAGGTGACTCTTTAGTAAGCACAGAGCTGACCTCAACCTCGCCACTCAACCTCTCAACTAGGAAGTTGGTGCCACTTCATCTTCCATCATCGTGGCAAAATATGCAAACGTCCTTGCGACACATTCGTGAGATATTTCCAGCCGAGCATCCAAGATCAAGTATCTCGAAAACCGAGAGGTCCCTTTCACCTAGGCTACGGCCCAAGCAGCCTGGCGGCTTGCTTGGAGACAAATGGAGCGTGGGCACTTTTTCAGACATGCAAAGTGCATTGAGTTCATTGCGGTTTTGCTTGGGATGCTTGATTCGGCCATGTACCAATATCCAAACAAATCGAAGGGGGTGGATTATAACCAACTCGACCTCTGAGGCTCCACGCCCACTCCACATAGCATGGGAAGAGTTCACCTCACATCCATGGTGGGCGGCCAACAAGAGAAATGCACTTGGGTGAACCGTGAACACCCCAAAAAAGGAATTAGCATTAACATTATACATATCATTAACCAAAAGCAGGAAAGGCATGTGACCCTGTGTGGGACTGCTATATAATCCCGCGAAACGGCGTATGTCTGGGGTGGTGTCTGGGTCTGGGGCGGCAACCCTCCAGTCCAAAGAATCGATGCGAGACACGTCGCTCGAGCACACCGGACACCTCGGCACCCCGGACATCTCCAAAGATCCTCCAGGCTCTTCAAGTCCTGTCCCGGGTCCCGGGTCTTGGCCCGGCCCTGGGGCGACGGCCCGTGCAGGGGAACGAAGCACTGCGGAGGTGAGCAACAAGGATGAAAAGGCAGCACTGCGGATCTGCAGCGGCCGGGCTTTCCTCCAAAACGCGCCGTGTTGAAGTGTTAAAAAAATGTGGCTGTTGATCTTGCCGTTTCAGGGCTCAACTGATCCCCGTGTCAGGGCTGGTTGTGTCAATTGCACACGTGGCGCGCGTGTCCATGGATCTGACTGATTCAAGAGGCACCAGCGTCAAGAGATCATCCAGAAAAGTGGACCCGTGAAAGCATTACGGGTCAAAACCGCTGTGGAGTTGCGAGGGTTCGCTGCGGAAAAAAACAACAGCACCGAGTCTTGGAATGTGGAATTCAAAGGGAACTGAGCTGCAGCGGAGGTTTGGAGACTGAGCTTACCAGTAGCTCGCGGAGCGCCAGATCACGGGATGAGTTTGAGGAAACTTCCAAGGGACTTGATGAGCGCACACTAATGGACGAAACGTCGAACCGCCTCGAAAATCATGGACGAATTCGCCTGAGATGACCACGTGACCTCTAATCATTCGCCATGAGATCTCGGCGCCTCCTCCACGCCCGGCGTCTGAACCTTAAGCCTGTAGATGCCGAGCCTCGGTGCTCGGTACTGGGTGTGTCGCATCTGACAGACCCGGGAGACGAGGTGCGAACTCCACATCACTCGGGGTTCGGTGCGAAGAGCACAAGCGTTCCCCTGTCATCCCTCAAGCACAACGAGTGAGTGATGGCTTGCCAGTTGAAGCAGCACGGCCCCTTTTTGGAAGGACTATATGATGTCGACTGTTGAATCACTGTTGAATCAATTTCACATGATTCGGAGATGTTGTTCATGTGAATTGCCTTGGACGAATCCACCACCTACATGGGCTAGACCTGGCTAGACCTGGCTGCCGACCGGGCTCGCATGGCACCAACTTCCCAAAGCTGTGGGGCGATAAGGGCGAGGGTTTCCTTCGAAAGCTCCCAGCCTTACCTCCGAAAAGTATCGATTTGGTGCCGACTTGGATGATTTGGTCGCGCCAAAATTGTCCTTCTCTCGTTTGATCTTTCTCTTAGTTAGTTCACCTAGTATCCTTGATTTTTCCGTTGGATTTCTCGAGACATGAATGACGCAGGAGCTGGATGCTTGTTCCCGCATCGTTGATTCGTGGGCAAACGATCTCAGGATGGCACTTTTGGCGCCATAACGTGGGAGGCACAATGGGGTTGAGGCAATTGAGGCAAATTCAAAGGTGTGCTTGGATGTGTGGGTAGCATATGCCAGAAGGCAAACCCATGAAAATGTGCCTACTCCATAAATAGTTGAGTGTGGGCGGAAACCCTCCCCCAACACATGCAAATATATGTTTAATAAATATATAGAATAGAACTTTGTCATTCTTGGACGGCCACACCCACACAAAAAAAGAAAGCTACTAAGAAAATCTAAGAAAGCAGAAGACTCTTTGCCATTCACCCCATCACCCTCCCAAAACACTCACGCCGTCGTTTACCCGGATTACCCGGAGACCGGTGGTTTACACGACCGAGGCACCCCACTTCCATCCACAGAGCTCCTGACGATGGCCATCTGCCGCGCTTGCGTGGTGGTTTCAACATGCGCCACAAGCCACTTGAAACGATAATCTGATCATGGTTGATCTATACAGTGCAGCACTCACTACGGCGTAATACATTGTACATATATGCCTGAAAAAAGTCAACGCACTTCTGTTTCAACACACGTCCACCCCATTGTAAAGGTGGAACATAAAAGATCCGAAGCCCACCCAGCAATCGTTGGCCCGGCCGTCGTCCGAGTTCCGAATGGACCGTCCCAGGGAGTCCGTGGATGGCATGGTCAAAGGAAGACGACGTTCCGAAAGAGAAAACATCATCCACTGACCTGGGGGTAAAATGAGGTCAAAGACTCTCAGGGAACAAAGGGTGAACTCCACTTCCATGTTAGGAGCAAGGACGCTACTAGGGGCTCCTGGCCTCGCTACTAGGAGCAAGGACGCTGTTAGGGGCTCCTGGCCTCGCTACTAGGAGCAAGGACGCTACTAGGGGCTCCTGGCCTTACTACTAGTGGGGTCGGAGTGGAGTCACATCCCTCGAGACTTCGAACTGGAATGAGCCGTAAGTGTTTGATTCGGCGCGCTTGGCAGGTCAAAGCTCGATGTGGGAAACTGGTCTTCCCGATGCACCGGGCTAGGGGGTGGTGCGATCTATCATGGTATGCCATAAGTAGCCGCCACCTTGTGACTTGGCCATCCAGCAGTTCCGAGTGTAACAATATCAGTACTGTCATCGCAGAGTCATTATTTCTGCCCCCTCCCACAGTGTGAGCGTTCCGCCCGACATCGTCCCCTCCGAACTTTCAGCTGAGCCAACGTGGAATGAACGAGTCGCCCTGCTGCACTGTACATCGGCCAGTGTAACTTGCGGCTGGTCCCCTTTGGGGGCATGCCGCAGGTTAAAAAGCATGTTTGCCTGCACAACTACCTTGACAGACAGTGCTGGCTGGCCGAAAGGCCTTCAAAAGCTTCCTCCCTAGTCCTACAATTTCGGTAAGTTCATGTAAGCTCAACCCCAGTCTGACTGGAGATATTCAAAGCACACAGAGATCAGCCCACCAAAGCTGAGTTTGGAGCCATATCGTGAGTGGAGCCTTTCATCGTTTGGCCACTAGAAGGTGGAGCCTTTCTAGCTGCGGTTCCGCGACCCATCCATCATCTAAGTCTAAGCATTGCGGTATCTACATGTATCATCATGTATCTACCCTACATGTGGCATGCATCGGTTACCATAAAATCTGGCAGTTGAAACCGAAAAACACTCCGAAGCTTTGGCAGGCAAAGGCATTCGGAACCCTGTGGTCTGTATTTGCACATGGATGTCAAATTTCTTTTGACTTGGGGCAGGTCCCTGGTCTCAAAAAGGGGGCTCCAGGCGCAAGTTCTGCTAAGTTCCGGATGATCAAAAGATCAACCCTTTAGGCACTCCAGAAGAACCAGTGTCTCCGTTGGTTCGCCCCACAGCCAAACCAGAGACCCACCCAGAATCAGAATACCATGGCTATTTAGGATCCTTCGGAAGACATTCCGGCTCAGGCTCTGGACTGTGATGCGGGCTGGCATGGGGGCTATGTGCAAAGGTCGTCAGGACGCCTTTCATGTCCTTTCCAGGCGCCTGGCACAAGCTGCGGACATAGCTTCGGAGGTCCTGGGCAGGAATTCAAAAACGCAATGCAAGAGCAGGTGTTCATGAATCCCCTGCCTGAGGAACTCTCACTTCAAAAGCCTTCTAAAACCTTTTGAACACTTTCCCACCATTCCCCGCACAAAAAGTGCACGGGGGTATCAGCACTCATCGAAGCCATCCTCATCCAAACTGGCGAAAGATATTCAAACCAAACGTTTGTTTTGTCGGCTTCCATCCGCCCAGATCGTTGGGTGTCATGCATTGTTCTTCTTCATTCCAACAAGCCATCAGAACCCCCTGCAAGATCGGCAGGAGGGTCACTTGCGCATCGCAAAATGGGTCACTTGCGCATCGGGGGTCACTTGCGTATCGGAGGGTCACTTACGCATCGACCCAGTGGGTCACTTGCGCATCGATGGGAAATGATGGTGTGTGAATTGTCAATGATTTCAACCAGATTCGTCTCACTTGCGCATCACGGAGCTCTAAACTGCTGTAAGGGTTGCCAAATGACTCAACCACCCGAGTTCCGCGTCCACAGCCATGCTCACTTACGCACCACGGAGCTGCTGATCACATCTTACATTCTTGTGGGGTGGGGTGGGGTGGGGGGGTGGGGGGGATCTAATGGAATGATTGGCCCGCGCGGCCACATCATCACATCTTACATCCGGGTGAGGCGCACAGTGGTAGTGGTCGTGGTGGTGGTGGTAGTGGCAGTGGTAGTACAAGTAGCAGTGGCAGTAGTAGTAGTAGTAGTAGTGGTAGTGGTAGTGGTAGTGGCAGTGGTAGTGGCAGTGGCAGTGGCAGTGGTAGTGGTGGTAGTAGTAGTAGTAGTCGTCGTCGTCGTAGTAGTAGTAGTAAACGCGACGCACAAGCGACCCAAAACGCGACGCACAAGCGCCCCAAAACGCGCTACACAAGCGACCCCCCGCTGCAAGATCTGTCCTTATCACTGAGGGCGGCATCGTTCTTTCGCCGGCATTTGTCGAAGAGCTGTTCTGCTTGGCTTTTGGTCAAATGGCCGGCCAGAACCAATTCACTGATGGTCAGGTCGCCACTGCTGTCGATGTCTATGTTTGCAAACCTGGGCGGCAACAGAACTCTTGCGCAAAAACCTGGGGATTGGCACTGGCAACGGCTTGAAAAGGGCTGTGTCAGTTTAGACGCTGGTTGCAAAGGAGGGTTGCAGTTCTGATTGTAACCATACTCCACGAGTATTGAGCCTGTGCTGAATTGCAAACTGGGATAATTCGATGAGATAATGCGAAAACAGTTCGGACATGAACTGTTTTGGTCTAAGGAGCCATGCCTCTTCCTCTCCACATCAGGAGCACCAACTCAACAAACGGCGAACTGACCGAGCAGCACCGCTCTGTAAAGAAGAACCGTCTTCCACCGATGTTCAACGGGTTCCGTTGCTGCTCCTTCTTGTGACGGCGAATGTTGTGATGCCAACAAATGAGTTCGCAGCGGAAAACCGATCATTCCTGCTACAGTATATCAAGCAGATCCAAGAAATCTGACACAGACCTCTATAACCACCAAGATCTCCTTATAGAGTAGATACATTACCAGGAGGACACTCTTGTCGGCACAAAATATGATTGTCCTCCCTTGGGCGACAGGCATGGCACATCTTTGGCCGTTTCTTGGACCTGCGCGGAACACTGGAAACACCGCCCTGCCCCTGCCCGGCCCTGCCCCCTCTTTTGTTCGGGGAAGCAGGACGTCAATCTCGTCATCGCTCACTAACACGGCTTCGGTCGACAGGAGGTCTTTCAACACTTCTGCGGCTCGGAAAGCCTGCGTCTCGTGAAGCGGAACGCTGAGGTTCGGTTGGGTCGAGAAGTTGGAAAGACCCAATGACCCCGGTCCGATGACCCCGGTCCCTCCCAAAGCAAAGGATGTACATTACATATCGGTGTATAGATTCATTGGTGCGTGATGGCAAACTCATGTATATATAACCATACTTATTACAACTTTAAATATAACCCATGCTTTGCAGTGGACACTCCTAGCTTAGCTGAGAGCGAGTTCCAAGCTATTCTTGGGCTGTCTTTCCGAGAAGGGTTCCAAGGTTGGAGGGCTTACTGTAGGGGTCCTAAGCCTCAAAAAGCCTCTCGAAAATGACAGTGGTGTGCGGTGTGCGCCAAGCAACTTGAATTGCCGGTTTCGTGCATGTATATATATATAACTGTCCGTGAAACCCATGTTCTATCGGGCCATCAGCACCAGGAGCCACCTGCTTCACACTCACACGATGGAAACTGAATGAACATGATCTCTTCCCAACCGGCTTTCAAGTGCAACGACTGTGCCAACTCCGTTCCTTTTGGCCGCACCCATCGTGCGATTCCACCGCGAATCGATCCTCCACCCGTGCGACCGCCTTGCCCCAAGCGAGGATGCATTCGATATTCGTCGGGGTGAGCGACCAGAAACCTGAGGAGAGCGACCCTGAAAACCGTTAAAAAAAAAAAAAAAACGCCCTTTCGGTGAGTCACCCGGTCGGAAACATCTGGTGCCTTCAAGCTGTTTGAAAATAGGATTTCAACGGGAACAAATAATAACAAATAAACATAAAAACGTCTGAACTCCCTGGTCGCAAAATGTTGCAACCCTGAAACATCCTAAAATATGTATACAAAGGAGGTCTTCTTCCAACCTGAGCCAATCCTGTTTGGCAGAATGTCCGTCTGGCCCATCATAAATGCTTCACTCAGAATGCTGCATGCCTCTTCAAAATCCAATGGAAAAGAGCATTTGCATGGTTCCAAGTGGCGCGGGGGCTTTCTCAGCAGGTCAGTGCCTGGAGAACACCTCTAGAGGCCAATTTGGCAGGATATAGAGCAAAAGAAAGCATTCCAAAAATCAATTAGGAAAAGTGTTGCTTGTGCGCCAGTGCACCCGGCGAGACTCCTCCGTTTTGCCTTTTGGCAAGGTCTCATTGTCCTGATCTCGCATTGACCACTACCCAACGTCACCCGCAAATCTGCCTCAACCTTCGTTGACAGTGCCTGCCTTTTGAGCTTCAGGCCGACCGTCCCTCGTGCTCCTGCCCTCGTCAAGTGGCTTAGACATAGGAACGCCCTCAAGCTGAGCGGACTGGGCTGAAGCCATTCCAGCCGGTGACGGACCTGCCAACGGCTCAGTCATCTCAAGTCCTATAAAATGAAGCTATGGGCAGGCCGGTCTGGGCACCATCTTCAATTCAACATCGACCCATACAAACATCTCTCCGCTTGCTTTGATTGGATGTCCACCTTCGTGAACATCAAAGATCTTCTGCGATCTACTCGACTGACTCTACTACTTCAGTCTCCTCACTTCCAACATGCGTTTGTCAGCGCCGGATCAACCTGTGAGG